TTATCACCCAAACTGACCCTTCAGCAGGAATCAGATGTTCCACAGAAAGAATTTACTGCACCCAAACTCCACTTTTACTGGGCTCTGGTCACAAAGATCCTCAGCAGTACATATCTAGAAAAGAAGTTGAACACCCTAAAAGACACAAGTATAATTTTTCCTGTGCCATTAGAGAATCTCTCCAGCACAACAGCTTCTAATGCATGATGGGATTAATTTCTGTCTCTGTCCTAATTGTCCTTATCTCTCTGTAAAATATTGTCATTATGATTCCTCCTTCTCTATCCTGACAGTCTTCTCTTTGCTATGCATGACCATTGCTTCTGAATTGCCAGGACTGACATTCCTCTTATGTGCTAATAATTTGTTAAATAATTTGAAATCAGGGTGTAGAAATAACCACGTTACAAGAACAAACATTATTGTAATTCCTTTTATTCCCTTTCTTATCACCCTTTACTGCATGGAGTCTCACCTAATTTCACTTGCAAAGTCTTAAAAGCAGGGTCTGTGGCAGCTGAACAACACACACTGGAACCTAACAGGATCTGGGACAGTGGCACACGCACTGTACACTTACACATGTAATTAGTGGGACTAATTTGCACTCAGAAATGCTGCATATACAACTTAGCAGGCAGCTCTGGCATTCTTCTGGGCAAGAAAGTTAGACAGGGCTCCCGTTTTGACACCTAGAAGGCACGAGGAGGGCCTGTGGAATACGGTGTCTTGAGAGAACAGTTATTTGTTGTGGTGGCATTGATTCAGAAACTAATCTCTTGGCCTCTTCCTCGCTGTGCCATGTGCCACGCATCAGCTTGCTGCTGGAACTGGGCTGAGCTGCGGGACTCTGCGGGCTGGCACCTGCCCAGGGCTTGGCTGCCACTTCCCTCTGAGCACAGCATCCCGGTTGCGAGGGAGGTGCTGCTGCCGAAGACAACAGTGGGAGAGCACAAGATCTGCCCAGCTGAGCAAGTCTCAACCAGCCGGTGTCGGCAGGGTTGGGCGAGGGGAAAGGGACACTGCCTCTTCCTCACCACCTGGGCCAGCAATGAGTCGTGCTCCCCATTCATTTTATTTGCTTCTCTTACGTCTGCAGGAGGTTTGATCAGATGTCAGTGTAGATTTGGACATTGAGTACCAAAGTCTTTGACCGTGGGATTTATATCAACTCTCCCAACTCAAGACAAATGGAGGAGAGCTGTTTTGTGCAGTTTACAGAAGACACTGCATTTTGCTGCTATGAATCAGGGTACTTTTCTCAGCTGTGCTTTTTGAGATGCAGGCTTCTGCCTCTTCCCATTCAGCTGATCACAGGTAAACAAATGTACGTATAATTAAGTTTCTGCAGTAATTTTCAAGTAGACACTTTGCACAAATAATAAATCTAGTAGTAGCAGGTTTTATTCTGACTCATGGACTATCTAAGATGGCAACATCTGAGTCCAACAGATTCATTTGTATGGTTCAGTGGGGAATTTTAAATATCTTCTAAGCTTTCTACATTAGTAGCTGTTCCAAAAGAGTCACTAAAATTAAAGTGTCATTAAAGCTGCAGAAGAACCATGGAAAGTCTAGTCTTAATGATTTTACTGCTAATACAGCCCGCCCGGAAGAGACACAAACATGTCAGACATCACAGTGCCTGTGATGACATACACTCCTCACATTTGATCAGTTTTTCATAATTTGTTTTCACTTATCATAAAATTATTTCAGGTTTATAGTGATCTAACAAATTACAATGGTGGACATTAAAAGCACTTCATTTCATACACTGTTGTGTAGGCCCTACACAGGGATCAGCATAAGTGCCTGGAGAAAGGGGATTACACCTATAGCTGAATATGATTTTGCTAGAGGACCATTACTGCTTAGTTTAAGTGGAACCAAGCAAAATTTGGTTTCTGTGCACAGGGGATACATTTCTCTCATTTGTCATTTCACTATTTAAACCCATCTTAAAAATGGATAAATCTGCTGATATCAGAATCTTTTTGTGTAGAATCCCCATAGATTATAATGTTCAGACAACTGCAAAAGTCTGCTTTAAGGAAGTTAAAGGCTTTAGTTTCAGATAAGGGATTTCAATGTCACTCACTGCTGAACACCAGAATCACTGCATGAGACATCTGAGATGTGCTGTTGCACAGTAATTCTAAGTAAAGATGTGCAGAAGTGGAGTTTTTAGGAACTGAAGAAGAATGAGCAGATACTGATGCCTTTGTGAACAGCTGATGGCTTTCAGCAAGTACTGATCAGACACAGCTAGTCAATCTGTCAGTTGGTCAGCCAAAACAACACGCAATGAGAGCAAGCACATGCTGATTTTGCAGATAATTAAGAATACCCTTCCACTGCTGAAGTTTTATAAGAGAATCTCCAAAAAGAAGCTTAATGTTTTCAGACATCGTTAAAAAAGAAAGTGGTGGCATTCAGGAAAGGAAAGCTGTAACTCAAATCAGGAACTCAGACATATTAATTGTGCAAATCCCTTCTTTTTACAGTGTTAGAGAAGTGCTGACATAGCCCAAGCAGTCGCTATCCCTTGGCAGTATTTGCTGGATCATTAGGAAAAAGAAACAAAGTGGAAGCTGGGTGTTGTCTGCCAAGTGAAGAAAGCTTTAAAATTGATGCAATGTTTGACTTTTACATGAGGCATTCACAGCGTCTCCTCCATGGAAGAGGAGGAGAGGCAGCAGAGGTTCACCACCAGTGTTCGTTTCAGGAGCATCACTTCAAAGCCCCAGCACCAGAAACAAATCCAACATGAGCAGCAGATTACTGCTGTCATTTTCTCACAGAAATGAACACGTCATTTTTGTTCTGTTAAGCATTAAAAACTGATACTGAAAAACATTGTGAGCTCTTCTGTGCCAAAAGACTCCAGAATGATCAGCTTCTGCCATGCTATTCCACTGTGTACAAAGTATCAAGCTGGGATCTACAAATGATCCTTGAATTGTGTGTTTGATCTAGCAGATGGATATAGACATGAAAGGGTTTAAGGGCATCATGGCTGACTGGAGGAGAAGTCGTTAGAGAAGTTAGGAGAGGACCAGCAGCTAGTCCTGGGCAATAGAATGGGCATGTTAGTGTTAGCATGGCTCTGTACAGCTGCTTAACCCACAGAGCTTTACCAAGCAGACAACTGCTGGATAAGAAAGAAGAGTGCATTTGATCTTTCAGTGATGACCTGAAGGGGAAAAATTAGGATGCTTCAAAAGCTTAAGCTGCCCCAAGAATACTTAGCATATTTTAACTCATGAATGACACCTAGCTGCTTACAGGAACTGGAACAAATAGGTAGGAACAAATTGGTACAATTTTCATTCCTTACTAATATTAAGATTTTGCTTTTAACCACTAACTATGTAAAGCTGAAGTGTTGCTTACACAAATAGATTCATCACAAGACTCAGAATTATCACAGAGACTACAATTATGATTACTAAATCTACTACACAAAGCAAAGGGCGTAACAGACAAACCAGACAAATAGAGCATCTTGAAAGCGTTACTGAATTCTGCCCCCAACAGAATCAAGAGCTGAAGTTTCTGAGTGGACTGGGTGACCACTGCAACTTCTGTGATCACAGTACCCTATACAAAGTTTATCTTAAAACCTGATGACTGCTACAGTTCTTGAGTGAAATTTTGACTTACGTTAAAAAGATTCAGTTCTCTCTCGGATGTTAAATGTGCATTCATGCATTTGCCATTAGCACTTTTTTAGATATCAGTCTATTTATAGGGCAGATCGTATCTAAAAAGTTGCAGGAATACTATCTTATGCGAGGTAACGCATTAATGGCACACGTACTTTTGTAAAGGTTTGTCAGAAATAACCTAATACCTCTTTATTCTTGCTGTGAACATGGCCCAGAACACTTCTTTTTAGCTTTACAAGCTTCTAACAATCTTATTGGATCCCATTTCTAAACATTACCCTTAGTGTCTTGCTATGCCAGCACACACACACAAAATGGTTGTCTGTTTCCTTCCCTCCGTTTCAGTTTTACTGTTGAGACTTACTGTTTCAGTAATTTAGACCAAGAAAACAACAACAGCAACAAAACACCAAAGTTTTCTACTTTAGGCAGATGTTAGAAATATAAGAACATGATAGTTTAGAATGTTTTCTGTAATCAATTCTTACTGAAAGGCATAAGGATGCTTCTGTGTATGTTGCAGTCAGCTATCCTGGGACAGAGAGCAAGTGCTGCTATAGATATGTCATTGCATCTGAGAATCTGTTTTTTATTATTTATTTTAATCCCAAGGAAGTCACTTACAGAGAAGTTTATCAAGGGATTTCCTACTTCAGTGCACCTCCTTTTAGACAAGAGTTCAGATACTAGGTCTAAACTACGGGGAAGGGAGTCTCTGTACACTTTTTCTCCTAATTGCAGAAATTTGCACAAACATGGCTTTGTTACAGACATTCCATCTGTGTTACAGATAAGAAATCGAATTTGAGGTATGATTTTTGAAGCTTATCTTAGATCTCATTTACTTAATTCAATATTAGTTTTATTGAATCTGAAGCATATTTATTGCTATATAGCATCAATTGTTTAATAACAAGGTAGCACAGTTGTAGCATTTGAGGTGCACTACTTTTCACATTAAAATATTGTGCTTTTTTATTTTCTCACAGTGCACTCACGGTTGCCCTGTTTTAGGGGGATCTGATATGCAACATACCTTGGGAACCTTTTAATGCCAGCCAGCTCAGCAAGTCATCCATGCAGCTCTTCTCCATGGTAAGAATAGCTGTGGGAAGGTTGAACAGCATAAAGAGGAAAAAGAAACAACTATCTGCACTTCAAAGATTCCCTTCAGATGAAATAGATATAAAATCCACATAGATTACTGCAGCAGCTGTAAGGTGAAATTAAAAGTTGCCATTGCCAATATATGCATTTGCCTGGAGTATTGTCTGTGTTTACATATTCTGGGATGGACATAGCTGGAAAGGGATATATCACTTTTGTTTTTTTCCTTTAGACTGAAGGTGTTGTGACTTTAAACATAGGGTTTATTAACACCAAGATCGCATTTCCAGTCCAAAGAATTCAGTGTCCAGCATGTAGCAATCTTGATTATATTCCGGTCAGGATGTGGTAGAGATGCTATTAGAAACAAAACAACTAGTTCACTCAGACAGTCCCACAAACATGCTTTATGGCATCTGCATCCTACTCATTTCAAGTGAGGCTTTACAGTGACACACTGGTGAAGATTAGTACACAACTGCAGGCAGATGCCCACGGCTGATTCAATTGTTTGCACTGACACTCACAATTGCTGTAATTGCAGCTGAAGTGATACAAGCCATTGCAAAAATCAGACAAAGTGAAATCAACATTGTTCCACAGAGATTTTATTAGTTGAAACACAGAAATGTACAATCCACTGTTTTCTCTTGGAACGAGTTCACCACGGCATTTCCTTTTGCCATGCCTGCAATACTGTCTTCGGTGATTAAATAAAAGAAGATTCAAAAGGTCTCCTTAAAAACAGAGCTTGTGCAGTAAGGACAATACATTCCAGCCTCACTTGTTCACAAAACTTTCCTTAAAAAAAAAGTGATTAAAACATAAAGCAGCATATTGTTTTTAGAAAATCAGTGGAAGCTGAATGTGTTCCTAAGTAAAGAATATTTCTAAGTCATTTTTTTAGTTTTCCTGCATGCTCCATGTGCAGCTTCTGTTGTTTCTTTCCTTTCTTCTCCCCATAATCACTGAACACCACTAATACTTCAGAGCTGGTATTTCTGAGAGGAGTGACCATCTTCTGCAGCCTATGGATGAAGAGAGAAATGGATGTTTAACAGTTGGCAGTATCCAAAACCTTCTTGGGAACAGATTACCATGCAGCCTGTCAAGCAAGTTCTCATGCATCACTGATGACTTCCTTGAGATCGCCTGCACTGCTGGTGGCAGAGACCAAAGGAGCTGAGATATCCAACTAGGAGCTGAAGATTTAACACATTCATTCCCCATTCGCAAACTAATAGTGGCCTTTGCAGACAAATTTCACTGCAAATGGAAATAAAGTTAACGTTTTCATTCTGACACTGGAAAGCTTCCATTCAAAAGCTTGAGACTGTGACTGCATCTAATCCTACTCTAACAGCTTAAAAGAAATAAAACATCAAAACTTTACAGGAAAGGAAAAAAAAAAGCCTGATTCTGTCTCATGTTCTCATCTGGACCACAACTATTTTTTAAATACAATTACCCACCTATATACATGAGTTCACTCACATTGATCAAATGGGACGCGGAAGAAGCAAGGTAGCCATGACTGCAACCAAACCTTTAACTAAATTTCATGTTCATTTGATTAAATAAAGGACATCATCTCCTCCCAGTAATTAAATTGGTATTAGACTTGCCAATATATTGGAGAAGAGATATCTAAATCCACAACATATTACATCAGAAAGGAGTTCAGAGAAATGAAAGGCAAGTTTTTAAATGTCTCCAGTTACAGCACAGCACTGAGGATGGTCAAAAGCCCAGACAAGTTCACTACAGAGAGACATGTCAAATCTGATGCTTTGAACACGGGACTCACACCCTTCTCACAAGCATTCAGCCAGGAGAACACACCTCGTACATTAGCAGCAAAAAAGAGATTCATGCTGGGAGTCAGAGACAGCCATGAAGCCATATATATAAATCAGAGAGGCCACAGCACTGCCCAGTCCTGTGCTCTGGGTGGTAGAGCCCTGTGCAGAAAGGGAGCCTTCCACACTCTGCTGTGTAGCTACCTTCTGCCTATTGAGAATCTGCCTATTTTTCTGCAGTGCTTGACTTTATTACCCAAAATCTTCCAGAGTTCAGGGAGTGTTTTGACAACACTCTCAGACACAGGGTTTGGTTTTTCACGGCCCTGTATGGAGACAGGAGTTGCACTTCACCCTCATGTGCCCCTTCCAACTCTAGATATTCTGTAATGCTAAGATGGGCTAGTGTAAGGTGCTCTGTGAAAAAGCCAGATGGAGAGCACATCTGCAAATGCTGCAGGTACCAAGCACTGTTCCCTGAGTGGGAGGCTGTGATCACACCGTGGCTGTGCTGGAGATGCTCCCACGCTGTGGGCACAGCACCCTGGAAAAACAGGCCTGGCAGGGTGACCAAGGGAAGGAACTTCCTCTCTAAAGCAGACAAGACAGAGGGATAATTTACAGTTGAAGGCCAGGAGAATCAGATACTGCTGCCCTCAACAGATTTATTGTAATAGCATTTAGGTACCCAACCAAATTGTGAGCCACACTGTAGAACACGCTGTAAAAAATCACTTATTGATTCAGGCTAAAAGAGGAATAAACATTAGTTCCATTCTATAAACCAAGGCAGGGATAGCAACTGAGCCCAGTGCTCAAATGTGAGATAAGGCTTAAATACAAAGTTCTCCTTCATATGAGCATATACTGACCCATATATTTCAGAAACCAGGCCCCTGGAAATCTGAGTCTTACCTTCTTTTGTTGCTTCTGCCTGAGGAAGTCAAGAACCTCCTTATGCCCTGTAGCCTTTGCCTGTGAGTAGAAACATGAATAAATCCTGCCATCCTGTGCACCAGGACATGCAAATACTTTCTTGTGGGAAGAAAGAATATGTTACCACAATATAATTAAAATCCAATTTAAATTTTAATTCCTCTGAGATAGATGAGAAAGTTTTGGCTCCAACAATCTATTACTTTAGGACAGCACCAGACTTGAGTTCACAACATACAGCAATCCAGTTTATAGCTCCAGAGCAGCACTTACTTTTCCCAAACTCGTATTAGCTGACAGCACCCACAGAGTTAGAGCACTGCATGCAGTATGGCCATGTGCACACTTACTACTTGTAGGGCGTTCCTGCCATCATAACCAGTTTGCTCCAGGTCTGCACCAGCCAGGTACCAGGCGTACAGCCCATCCACATCACCTTTAGCTGCAAGACTGGAAAAAACAAATACGTTGGTTCTGAGTCTTTCAGTCTATTTCACTGTGCTCTTGTGTGCTGCCCATGAGCTCCACAAGCAACTGCTGAACCAGAACAGGTTCAATATGGCTGCAGGACAGAGACGTAAGGAAAGAACACTATTACAACAGCTTTGAATAGCTGAGCAAGCAACACAGCTTGATGAATCAGTTCCTTAAATTAATAAGGCTGTGCTATAAGTACTTACAACAGGCTAGTTTCACACAGTGGGTGTGACTATGACCAAGGGGGAAAAAAAAGTCATTCAGTTTCATATTTCACAACACAGTATTTATCTCATGAAATGAGTTGGAGGGAGGGCAATGGCTGTATCAAGGTGCAGCTGAATAAGTGAGGGAACAAGCAGATGTGTTCGCAATCAGTCTGCCCCATTTGAAACCACTGAGAAAACCCCTTCATAAGTTTGCACACTACCAGAAGTTAAAACAGCATATTTACGTGTTATCCTTTGGACAGCCAGCTATGTTTTTTTGAGTTAAGGTAATTTGTAAGATTTAAATGGGTAGCATGCAAAAAAAAAATAAAGTAAAAAAATCCTCTGTTGAAGAGGATTTCTATCTGTCGTGCATAACAAGCAACAGTAAAGGTCAACGTTAATCTTATAGAAATTAGTGAAAAGTAAGAGAATTAACGTTTTCTGAGCAATGTATGCCAGAATGTTTCTTTGCACATCTTCTGGGGGTCTCACCTGTAGTTCCTAAGGTTCCTTTTTAACTTGTTTTTTGTAAAGAAGGATTCACAGTCTGCATGTGCACAGAGCACGCCTGTCCCTATCAACTCTGCAGGCTGAGCTGTGAGCACAGCTGAGAGGGCTGCCTCTGCATTTCTAAGGATAAGAACACACCAGGCCACGGAACAGACAGCAGCTCCTTGCTGCATGCTGGGACTGTCTGAGCACAGCTCCCTGATAACCATCAGATGAGGCTGTAGCTCATTAAGAGGGGGAAACCCCCAGTCCTATTAAGTTCAACATTCGCTGCCTGAAATGCTGCTTGCAGTGGAGGAACGGCAGCGATGGGCTCTGGAATGATGAATGGAGAGCAGGGTGTGCAGGAAGATGCAAGGGGCAGTCAGTCAGGTAAGCCTATGGAAGAAAGCCTGAAAGCAAGTCTGAAACTTTCAGTTCTCTGCTAGACCAAAATCACCTCTGATGTTGATTAAATCTCTTAAGTACCTGAAAAAATGTTTTCAGGGGAGTGGAAGCCTCTAATTGCAGCAGCCTGAGGAGAAAGGCAGAGAGAGGCTTTTGCTCACAGCAGTCCCAGAAGCTGTGCAGGAAAAGAGAGTGAAGAGGATCTCCATATTCCTCTTGCAACCCTGCCAGCCCCAGGGCAGGGCTGAGGCCCACAGCTGGGACTTGGGGAGACAGGGATGTGGCAGTGGGGTCTGACATCATGAAGAAAAGATCAGTAGCCATTAATTACCATTGCTGTTACAAAAAGGGCCTCTCAGAAAACAGAATGAAATAGAGGAAGCAGAGGCAGCCTAACAGGAAACTCAGTGGGAAGCCCTCAAGGAAACTGTAGGAAAAAGTAAGCTTTAGTAAAGAAGTGTTAGCAAATCAGAGAAGAAGTTGCTTAGCAGCCGCTTCAGAACACAATAATTACTGTTTACAAAGACTTGCTGTTGACACTGAGATGTCCCAGAACGAAGGAATGAACAAACCAAAAACTGAGCAAGTGAGCTATACTCAAACACTTGGCCTCAGAATGTCACTGCAAAGTGGAAACCACTCTGGACAAAGTCAAGAACATTCAGAACTATTACTAACACAGGGCAATTCAGCTTCATCACTGTAAGCAGCAAACTGCACTTAGAAATGCCTAATTAGCACCTTTTCAGAAAGAGCAGTTCAACTCACAGTACCACAGGTCAACAGCAGGAAGTGGTCTCTTTGGGTGATACTAGAGCAATCCAAACACAGAGAAGTATCTTCAATTTTGCAGCATTTACTGATCAAGGTAAAAATGTATTTTCTGAAGACTGCAACCAGAGAACAAAATACAGCGGAGTTTGCTACAGAATTCAGATACAGCTCTGAACAGAAGATACTGGTCATTCACTAAGTTGATTATAATCAAGGACACCATGAAACATTTTCTCCAACTCCAGATCTCCGTAGCCAAGCCAGTGTACTACATAGAATCAAACATATATATATATACATTTATACATATATATACATATGCAGCAGAAAAATCACAGGGATGCTGCGTCAATGACGTATCATTTTTGGAAGAAATGATTATGCACTCTTTTGCAGTTTCAGCATGGCCAATGTAGTTATGACAGAAGAGCTAAGATACTAGGAACAGTGATAATCCAATTACGCTGCCTCATTTTGTGCCTCCCTGTCACACCAGTATCAAGCAAACTGAGTTACAGGAGCTGTTGGGCAAATTACACCAAAAAGCTGCTTGGGTTTCAGAGAGCTGAGAAGGACAAGAGCCAGTGCAGATCTGGGAAGGAGTGTGAGCAGCTAAATGACACTTCGGGTTCCCTCCTGCCACCTACAGTGGCTGGATTTCATCTTTCCAAGGAACACAAAGCTCTGCTCTTCCAGTGATTCTCCTATTTCATTGCTTATACAAAACAATCAGGAAAGACCTTCTGCTTTTTGGGTGCATCATCAACATTTTTTTTTTTTTTTTTAAATTTTTATTTTAAAGAAAACCTGTAAAAAACTGAAGTACAAAGCATGGGTTGTCCCATCCTGAGCATATCTGGGAGTGTTATTCTTATCGAGTATTTCCACATCTCTCATAGCTGCAGCAGATTGTTTTGTAAGACAGGAGGCATTATAAGCTTGGCCCCAGTTTGTACAAGGCACATTTATTTCTTCTCTCTCAGAACTAGCCCTCAAAATTTATGTTAAAATACAAGCACCTTATTTAGAATGTCACTGATTTTCTGCACTTCTGTTGTATATAATTTTATGCAATCTAAAAAAAAAATGAAATAGGAAAGTTTGGTTTTATTGCTTCTACTTAATTTTGTGAAGTACAGATTTGAATAGTGTCTCAGTTCTACACAGACTTCTTCCTACCTAAAACAAAACCCAAAAGCAACTGTTTACCAATTGCAGAGCATGACAAGCCTTCAGAGTGTGGCTGCCTGCCCCAATATGTCTGATCATGGCCTGTTTCTGCAAAGATGCCAATGCTACTGCAGTAGAGATTCTGCTGTTTTTAATAGATAGGATGCTAACATTGAGATCTGTTTTGCATTTTAAAACAAAGCTATAGACCAGATTCCCAGCATCAACAAACTGATTCTAAAGAGCAGACTAACACCTCTCACTTCCTCAAAATAAAGCAAATGATGAAACCATGAAAAATTTAACAAGATCACTTTGGCTGCATCCATGTGCATCTCCACTTCATACATGAGTTCTTGTGTACACTGTCCAAGTCCCATTTCTGGTGGGAACTCCTTTCCCTCTCAAACATCACCAGTGCCAACAGAGCACATTTATTTTTATCTCCTTCCCAAAATTATGAATCCAAACATAAGGAAATTGAGGAGGCAGGGTAAAAAATTCAGTGTTTGTGGCTTTATGGGAAAGTCAGTTTGTTTGATGATAGATAACTAGTAATGCAAAAATGTGCTTCTAGTAACAGAGAACTGTATGGAGAAAAAAAAAGAGCTGGTTAAGGGCAGTAACCCAGAGAGTATCAGATAGCAGCTTTGTTGTTCTGAACTCCAAGAAGTGGACACAGAATCATAGAATGGCCTGGGTAGAAAAGGACCACAAAGATCATCTAGTTTCAACCCCCCTGCTATGTGCAGGGTCACCAACCAGCAGACCAGGCTGCCCAGAGCCACATCCAGCCTGGCCTTGAATGCCTCCAGGGATGGGGCATCCACAACCTCCTTGGGCAACCTGTTCCAATGAAATCCAATGACATACTGACATGGGGACAAATTCAGACTGATACAAACTGCACTTTAAGGTACATTATATAAGGATAGCAGAGACATAGGAAAATAGTTCAGATTAGGTGAAGGGAAGATGTTACAAACAGACTGTTCTATCAGCAGCTCAGCCATGTGAAAATGCTGTTTTTATATTAACCATTATCACCATTAATAAAAGTTTAAGATATCTCCAAACCTCAAAGCAAAATATTAGCTTTGAACAAGAAATCACACCATACAGATGCAGTATGTGCCACGGTCCCTGAAATGCTGCAACAAACAGTGTCAGAAGCACTTTCTGTTTACCCCTTGTTCTCTTTGTGGACGCCCCACTCATGTCAGCCAGCCAAACAGGTTCTGTACATGGTGCAGCGCTAAGCAAGGGGCCAACCTATTTGCAGAGGAATTCTCTAAGCCACTCCTCTTGTCTTGATGGATGGATACAATGCAAAGGAAGGGCTCACTTCTGTCCTATCACCCGCAGCGCCTAATATGTGAAGCACATATTAGAACTCAGTGGTAAAACTCCTATTATCCAGTCTCCCCTGAGTAAATTACGACAACTGAAAAACTTCAGTTTTATTTCTTCATTCTGGAATTATTTAAAGGACAGGGTCTGGTCCCTACAGAAATGCATACTTATCCAGACCTTATAGATTTGAGGACGATATGCAGTCCTCAAATTGAGACTTGCCCTGGCAAGCCTCAATTTCCAGACAATTCCTGATACAGAGGCTGGTGTTGAGGGATTTTTGTTGTTGTTTTTTGTATTTCAGAGGAAAAGAAGAAATGAAGTAAAACCAACCAGTAATGTTAGGAAATTAATAAAAGCCTTCTCACAGTTTTGAGCTCATAATTCAAAACCTTGAGGGGAAAACACAAAATCAGGTATCTATTTCTTTTTGAAATATGTATCCTTAACATTAAAGCACCTTATCTATTAACAGCAACTGTATGGAAAACTGCTTTAATAGAGGATTATATTCGCTTAAAATTAAATAGAGGTGGTGAGCACTTACTGTTTTGGAGTGAAATGCATTTGAAATGCATTTGATTTACATATTTTGAGAAAGACACTTGTTAAAGCTGCTCCCATCGAAGTAACGAAATGATTTTATTTTAATAAAAATTATGCACTGTGTGCAACTTTGTTTTCAAATAGAGATGCTATTCAAAAATCTATTTCCTTCTCTTTGAGACTGAAATTGCTTGGAAAAAACCGTGTGCTTTCTTCTTGGTCACTTATCCCCACAATATTCCTTTATTTTGGAGCCCTCTTGACTTATTGGTGTTGCAACACTGAGTTGATTATAAATTTCATCAGTTCTCTTGTTTCTTCATTATTAGTTTCGCACAGGAGGAGTCGCATGTCATGTGCCAGAGACACAGGGAATAACTTCCTTGAAAGCTGTTCTTCATTCTGAGAGTCTCCTCTGAAAAATCCTTCCCTTCCATCTCAATTTTAGGGCCCCTCCTTCCCTAAAATCACATTTACCTGCAAAGTATTGTTCCAGTGTTCTCCAAGTCATGGCTTGAAAGATGTGCTCCTGTTTCTCGTAATAAATTGATCACCTGTATGTGCCTTTAAGAAAGAAACAGAAAAGAAAAGGAAATAATTTAATCACAGATTCTGAGAAATTTCTGAAACAAATTTCCTTCCCTTTTCCACAGAAACTCTGGTGAGTTGCATACAAGGCCTCTAAGATACTGTCCTGGGTAGAAAATAACATGACAGATTAAAAAAAAATTACAAAATACACTTTCATGAGTGGCCTAATGAAAGGTTTAGAACTTGGTTCCAAAGGGAGGTGACTCGACCCCTCTGCTAAGCAAATAATCTAGGTTACAAACCTAAAAGCATACTGTTTTCTCCAGAAAGAGTGAGATGGCATCGGAAATTAAAAACTAAACACTGCAGTGACAATGTGGGAGTCATTTTGATAGGGCAAATAACATGAGTTATTTCCCCTATCAGACGTATTTTTTCGAAGCATATTTAATTTATATATTTGTTTCATGGCAAAGCATTACTGGAACAACAAGCACCACAAGTTGGTTATCTGAAATATTTTCTCAGGAGGGTCCCTTATAACACAGCTAGTCACCCACAAGCATCTCCTTGAGAAAGCAAATAATGGCACTGCATCCTATTTTTCAGTCTGCAGTGGAGAATAAATTCTACATTTCTACAATTCTACATCCCCTATGAAGACAGGCTGAGGGAGCTGGGCTTGTTCAGCCTGGAGAAAAGAAGGCTGCGGGGTGACCTCATTGCAGCCTTTCAGTACCTAAAGGGAGCCTACAAACAGGAGGGGAATCAACTCTTTGAAATGGTAGATAACTGCAGGACGAGGGGAAATGGTTTTAAGTTGAGGGAGGGAAGATTTAGGTTGGATATCAGAGAGAAGTTCTTTAGAGAGAGAGTGGTGAGGTGCTGGAACAGGCTGCCCAGAGAGGTTGTGGATGCCCTGTCCATCCCTGGAGGTGTTCAAGGCCAGATTGGATGGGGCCCTGGGCAGCCTGGTCTAGCATTAAATGAGGAGGTTGGTGGCCCTGCATGCGGCGGGGGGGTTGGAGATTCATGATCCTTGAGGTCCCTTCCAACCCCGGCCATTCTGTGATTCTGTGAATTCTTAGACCACTAATTAGCTAAAAAGTGTTAAATTTGATACTGTGACTATGAAGAGCAAGAAAGCACAGACCACCACTCACATTCCCATCACTCAATGTGAAAAATACACAGGGCTAAGCTGTGCAGCAGCTTGTTCCTATTTGCGTTCAAAATGGCACCTATATTCTCAAAAAACTTAAGTTCTATCCAACCCTATCACTTCTTACATTTACCCACAAAAGCATTATTCAGACTTCAAGAGGCTGGCTGTGCATTTGCTGATATGTCTTATGCACAAGAGAGGTGTTTGTCTTCAGATGTTGTTTCTGCTCTTCTATGGCTCTGCTAAAGCCTCAGAAGGACCAGTGGTTTTTTAGTGATGTTATGAGCAATAAAATTCTTGGCACCAGTTCAGATGAGACTCCCTTTCTAACATGACAGCATACAACCAAGAGCAGTACAACTGATGGACAACTAAAGTATAAGTTTAGAGAAAAGGCCAATGTCCCCATGTTAACCTGCAGTGCAGAGCTGCTTGTCCAGTTCAGCTTCATCTAATAAGCAAAACCATGAGGATGTGTGGTAGCTGCGAACTGCTCCTGTCTGCCTTTCCTTAGCTCCATCTGTTACCTGACCATGGCTCTGGCTCAGACAGATACAGCCCATACCATACAAACAGTGCTATTTCATGGTACTGAAATTAGCTTTTTGATACTGCCACTGACATTTGTTTGCTCTCCAATGGAAAATATAACAAACCAAAAGTGTCTAGTGTCTTCCCTGCTCTGATTCTATTACTGATGATAACATTGAAGATTAAAAACAAAAACAAAAAAAACCCCAAACCAATGTAAACTAGTATTTTAATGACTGAAGAGCAAAATAAAGGGTTTAGTGTGATCTTCACATCCATTCCCATGCTCAAAGTTTAAGATCCAGATAAAGACACCAGAACTTGTGGTTCACAAGTGCTCTGACTTTGCAGCCACCATGATGCCGCACAGTACGTATCATCCTAGGCTTTGACTTGGCAGACACTTACAGAAGGGAATCGACTTCAAAAGGCATGAATCACACATGTGAAATGAACACACATGTAAGAGTTTGCAAGGTTGGGGCCCTAGGGTATACACCTTCCACCAACTCTCTTTAAAGAAATGCAGGTGTAATGTATATCCAAACTTGACAGGCTTCATTCTTTTTAATGCTTGCTTCCCTAGCAACTGCGATGGTTATGGCAGGATGAGCTTAGTTTCACTTCTTCGGTTTTCTACAGAGTATCAGTGGGAATTTTATGCTCAAGGATTGTAAGGACAAACTTCAGAATACTTTTCTAAACTTTAGTGTTTAAATTCTCGCTCTGCCTTCGATTTCCTGATGTAAACGGAACCTTGCAAAATAGCAAGTATTTAAATTTTTATTTACGTGGGAGGTAATTTTACTGCCTCTAATCTGATGTTCTCACAGCAATACACCAGAAACTCCCGGTTTTCAACCTCTTACCACTGTGTTATAAGTAAATGGAAGTGCTTTGACTACATAAAACATACACTTTTTATTCAAGACATTTTCCTGCTTAGAAAAGTTTCTGTTATTAAGAAAATATTATTCTATTGTTTTGAAAATGAATTATCCCTGGAGGGTACTCTAAGAAATTAAAGGAATGCTACTAATTTTGATATGTCAAGCAACTGGCCTAAATTAACAGTGGTCTGTTTAACTTCATGCATAAAGCGAATGAGACTACCTGTAAATTGCAGTTACAAATGAAAAAGCGGAAATGCGGTACTTTATTTCTTTATTTCTCATTTAGAACTGGACTCTGCATTTTACCATCTACAGAAATAGAGAGACATTTAGAGTAAAAAAAAAAAAAAAAAGAAAAAACAAACTTAAGAGACTACCATTGATATAGAACAAATTGCTGATCTGTAAGTGACAGTACTGCGCTAAGATGCTTTTAAGAGGAGACATAACTCCTGATCATCCTTACACGTTACGAAATGGAGAAGCGAAATCAGTCATCATTGCACAAATTTACATGCTAGGTTAAAAGGCAAGCTGCTGAACAATGTGACATACAAAACTGAGGGAAAGCTGCTTTTAAGATGAACGGATTCTGTACTGCAATTATATTCCAATTAAGCAAATATTAATTCTCAGAAAATGGGATTAGGCTGATGCAATATTCAGTAAAATTGAGAAAGTTACAATATGAAACATTATAAAGCATTGACTGCTCATTAAAGTTGGTTTTCCCCCTTCCCTTTCTGCACACAGTACACTGCACCAGGATAATCTTCACTTTCAGCATGCAACCATTTAATAAACAGAATTTAAATATTTCTGTAGCTCAAATCTTTTTAGTGGGTATCTAATTACACACACATAAAGCTGTCTGATCTTTACCCATCTTCTTGTATGCTTATCAGCGTGAAATGCAGTGTGAGTACACAGCAGATCATAAACACAAAATTATGAAATTAGTTCCAAGTCAACTCTTCCTCTCCTTACAACAGCTGAAACAAAAAGAGAAACTGAAAATGGTTATGGTTCAGTTTCCTTTTACAGCTCCCAATATCAAAATGTGTGTGCAGTTTTAAAGAGCTTAAGAGTCATAGTAGGAGTCTTAATATAGGAGTGGCAATGCTAAAGAATCCAAACAACAAGCTCATGTGAAATTCCTCAGGCGGTAGTTGGGTGCGGTAAAAAAAAAAAAAAAGTAGGTGCCTGATTTGCAGGAACATCTAATGGTATCTAACGCTTTAGCATTTTCTCACATTGGACTAGAGCCACTTCAATTCAGCTACGAGGTTATTTGTTTGATTTGCTGTTGGGCTTGTTTTTGCTTTAAGACTTCAAGGGTTTGCCACTGAAGAGCTCATGTATTCGTAAGACAAAGCAACAACTTATAAATCCATAGGGGATCGTGTAGCAGGTATGGCAGCAGCACAGCGGGGCCAAACAGGACTTAAAATCTCAAGTTAATAGGGCCAGTTGAGTTTTCTTGCATTTGGTGGCTTAGACAGGCAAAAAGGTTACTTCTGTAGCCAATGCAAAAACATGGCTGTCAGACCTGCCGGGGAACAGTCTCCAGCCTGAAAGACCAGGTGAACTTGTCAACGTGAGAAAGCTGTAGGAATATCTGGGGACAGACACCCATGAAGACCATTACAGTTCTACCACTCCAAGCTCCATTATGTAAAATAGCTTCTCTCCTGCCATCATACAGACTGAATATGAGATAAGGAGCTGAAAGTGGATCAAAGAAACAAGAGATTAGGGCATGCAGCTTCTAACACGTTGGAAGGCCAGTGGCTCTATGAATCCCCAGGCTATAAAAAACAACTGTTTTAAAATTAAACTTCTCCTAACTGATAACTTTTACACACTATGTCACGGCCATCCCTTAAGAGTATGCAACATGGAAAAGACCAGTACATCACTTGTTCATGACTATCATTCAATAACTGCTGACATTCAGAACAACAGGAAGAGGAAATCCACACAGCAGGCAGAGCCATACAGACATCTCATATTATTACGAGTGGGTGGAAGAGAAAAAAAAAAAAAAGAAAATCAAAGAAGTCACCCAGCAAGAGACTCAAGCAAGCATAGGTGGAAGGGAAAGACTAAAACGTGACAACCTACCAGTATATTTTGTGCCAACTGAAACAGTCTGGTCTTGATGAGAAAGGGGAGGGCAGAAAGAAAATAAACTTCCCTGGGTCCAAACTGCGTTCACACTTCTGACAGTCAAAATGAGTATTCAGTTTGGCTCTGTTTTATAAAGAAGCCTCATAGCAGAAAGTGGAGACCTGAAATTACGGACAAAGCCTTGGCAAGAAGGCAGCAATAAGTCACCTTATGCTAAAATTCTACATGCGTACAAAGTTTTCTCTTTAATTTTCTGTTATTTCAAAAATAGTTTTAATTTAGGCTAGTCACATCCTTTGAAACAAAGCTGTTTTGTGTTGTTTTCACTGCTGTTATTTACGCGTGATCGCTGAGACAACACAAGGCCAAAAAAATAGGGATGGACTTTAACATTCAAATTGATGTAATGTTTAAAAGCTTAAGATGAAGTGGTATATAAATTGTTACCTGAACTTGATCGCATTCATCAGTGGGGTAGATCCGTATCTGTCTCTAGCGTAAACAGTTGCACCAGATGTTAACAAATACTCAACTAGTGGTAAATGCCCTTCAGAGGCTGCAATATGAAGTGGAGTTCGGCCATCATAGTCTTCACAGCTTAGGTTTCCACCCTACAAAACGACAGGTCTTTCACATGCTAAAAAGGTAATGGCTGCACATGAAATTGTTGGTACAGCAAACCACAACAACTTGTAGCACCAAAATATTAACCTTACAAGTTTATCTCATAGTGATATTTCTAGCACCAGTACAGGTATTTATTTCACTCTCCATATCTCATTCCAGCCCCCTCAGATAGGCTTTTCACTGCTCTACACTGCACAGCATCTTTGTGCCTAGAGTCTGCTAATTTTGTCTTTTGTCTAGAGTTTGATAATTTTGTTCATTGTTATTTTCAAGATACATTTATCCTTTTTCTAGACCCATTATCAAAGCCTCAAGAATAGAGTTAGAACAAGGAAAATTAAAAACAAAGAGCTGTAGGCAATGATACAGGGTAATAGGTATTTCTTTTTTCAAGGATAATCCAAGCTAGAGCTATGGGGAGAGCCAAAATCCTGATTTAACACTGAACTGTGTTTCACTTAAATATAATCTCCAAGTTCTTTCTTTTTTTTTTAAATCATGACAGATTTACATCCAAAAGCTGGATACTATGAATATGCATAAAGAGAGTTAAATGAAAGAAAGCAGCACAAATCATTTTAAAGCGTTCCAAAGTTGGCAGATAAGAACTTGCATATTAATCTACCTGTATTTTTGCAGTTCAAAAGAAAATGAAAGCAGCTAAGAACCAGATAGAGGAAAGAACATACCAATTTTGAAGGCAAAGTCTGAAGTGCCTAGAAACTAGTTCTATTAGTCAAAGCTCCTTGAATTTAAGACTTATATCGTTGCTTCCCAGAGAGCATTAGCTTCCTCCAATCATGTACAGCTCTACTTGAATACTTATTCACAAACTGTGAATTTCACATTACCATTTCTGCTATGGCTTTCAGTGCATCTTTGTCACCCAGTTTAGCTGCAGCACAAGCCAAAGGTGGAATTAATGCATCTCTTACAGCTTCTAACTCCTGAGAAACAAATAAAAATAAACATTTAATATCAGCTTCGCCTGTAATGTGATTAAAATCTAAGTCATAAAAACTCTGCCCTTATGCTTTCATGTAAAGTTTTCAAATTAGTCATCTGGATATTTTAAAATGGTAGCATTTTGTTCTTGGAAGGAAAGAAGTCTCATGTTTACTTTACATTTTGTATCTCTCCCATCCATGATTTATATTCCTCCCTAGCAACACTACAATTACCTGGTATCTATATATACCATTTAAAGTGCACATACTAATTACCATCTCTGCCCTGCCACGGTTACACATCAGTACAGTAAGAGAAACAGGGCTGGTAGGAGTTAGAGGAGATCATTATCATTTATTCTCGTCAAGAATGAATCAACTTTAGTCATGTGAGTCCTCAGATATCTGTGTAATCTGTACTTCCAAACCTCCCATTTCTCATACTAAAGAACTACCATAAATTCAGTATTCATATAGCTATTAAAAATCTCATCTTCCCTCAAACCATGTCAAGAGGAAAGCAAACGCTTGTTTCTAAGAACCAATACTATAGTTTCTGACTTTCCAATTGAGACTAATATTAAAAACCACAAATTATACTTGTGTAACGCTTCCTCAGTATCATCCTTCTATGACTGCGTGCACAATTAAGCTGTTTTACCCCTTACTATTTGGCTTGCTCCAAACTGTCAATACATTTGACCACAAAAACACACAGCACTTTTTCATATCATTGATACCCTGAATTATAGCAACTGTCTGAGGCTTGTTATTGTAGCCAGGCAGCCAAGAAAATAAAGTCAAGATGGGCTACAAAGAAGGAAGAAAAAAAAAACCTAACAAAACAACAAATGTAATGTGTTTTTAATTAAAACCATTTTAATGCCCTGCTTGTCATTGTGTCCTTTCTCCCCACCCCAGCTGGTTAGCTGGGGCACTTGGTACTGAGAAAATAATCTAAAAGTTCCAGTGTTCCATTTTTCTTTCAGCTGTAAACTAGGTTCATTTAACTGAGTTTACAGATTTACATGAGTTTGGGTTTAAATATTTGAAGATATACCTCCTTGCAGCTGATACTTAGAGATCTGGCAATCACTTGAATAAACTTGCTATCTCTGAGAGAGATCTTGGCTCCTGTGGGTACAACAGTCATTTCTCCTCTTAGATTCTCACTCAGCATCTGAAAAGCAAGCAATCAAACCCTTTGTTAGCAAAGGAAAATATGGTAGTAGTCTAATAAAAAAAATCTTAGGATCAACTAAGAAAACTGTTTGGAGGAATTATGGAAAGTAACTGAATGCAGACAAAAGATTAAATAAATAAATAGTTACTGTCCCATGAGGACTGCAAGTTTAAAAAGACAAAAGGGGGAGGGGAGGAGAAGGGACAGGCAAATAAAACTTTCTTCCAAAGCAAAAAAACAAACTAAGCACATAACAAAACACCTCAATTTTTAGAGTATGCAGACAAAAGTTCCCTAATGGAGTATGCTGAAGCCTACTTAAAAACACAGAGATATTGAGTAATTAGCAGAGCAAGGCGGAAGACCAGAATATTTTGAAATGCTGCCTTCTGCCAGCGTTCCCAACACCCGGTACTCCTACACAGACTGTGTGCTTAGGCCTCAAAACAAAGCCCAGTGCTGCCTGTGGAAGTCATCTATTTCAACTGATTTTCAAACAGCTCCAGTAGCCCTGATTTTGTTAACATTTTTGGCCACAGAACCAGTTTTGAATGCAGAGCTTCTGTAGTAGTGCTCATTACTTAATCATAAAACAGGTGTGAATAGTATGCAGTGTGAGAGCATCTGATACAAGCAGGAAAAAACAAGAGACAACAAAAATGGACAGCCAATTCATGTGTAGAAATTGCTGGAACATGACAATAAAGAAACAAAAATGCTGTGAAAAGCAGGCTGTATGAAATCTGGAGAACAAGGAGAGAAGCCATTCACAATTTTACATACTGGCACCCTTTCACTACGGGTTGCTGATGCAGCTACAAAGCACGTAGTTGCTTCAATTAGAATTTTAAAAAGCAAGATTGTGAAAGTTTGCAAAAACAGATGTGATGTTGGAAGGAGGAATGCCCCAGGTTCACTTATGTCTAGGCATGCCCTTTATTACAAAAAAAGCTCCCGAGCGCTGACAACACTATAGCTGTCTGCTGGAAGAGTCCCATGTACATGTAACTCGCTCAGATGATACCAATTGCTTTGGCACACTTTTAGAGTTTGACAGGTTGAGATCATTACTTTGCACAAGTAACCCTAGCAATTGGCACCTATGCTAAAGGCACCCAATGTGAAAATCCTGCGTGCCTTTCTCAGTCCTACCAGCTCTGCAGCCATTTGCATGTATCTGGGGGCACATTCCTTCCTTCTTCATGTTGAAAGAGAATCCTAAAATAACCACGCCAGCTTCAGGAGAGTTTCTGTCTCTTGGGAGACCATTGTTTGGTGATATGCTTAGCTGAGGGTATTGCCACAGACAACATATTTCCAGGCTTTCTTCTTCTCCTGATCTCTACCACTCATTCCTGCCCAGGCAATGTAGCATGTTGCTCCCTTAGTTGTGCCAACACAACTGTTTGTGAGTCTGTACAGTGAGACAAATGAGGAAACTGGTCCTGCTTAACTCAAAGAAATTGCAAAAGTTATTTGTTTTTCACGTCGTGTAAGGGAGCTGGCAGCACTACCTCATAACACCATGTAACACATTACAGATGATGCAGGAATACCATGCGCCAGTGGTACCTAAAACACAGTATCACCAAGTCCTCACCTGAATAATTCAGCTATCTCGCCTTGGCAAACTGGATCTCAAATTAAGTTTTAACCCATACACCTAGGCAGGATGTCAGCCGGAAAGTTTCTCCGGTTCCAGGTCAAATGATCCTCTGTGCAAGAAGATTAAAGTCTACATTAAGAAAGAGGCTAGTATACGTGTATTCCACGGGTCAGTGAGTCTACCAAGGGGGCATCAGTAAAGAGCCTGGGTTTCTGAAGTGTATATACACAAACACATGCAATACCACAACTTACAACATCGCGCTGCCTGTTTAGCATGTTGTTGCACAGAGTATGTTCTTGCCATCCTCACTGAAAAAAAAAAAAACCACAGCCTCTCCTCCTCTCATTTTTCAGAGTAAGGACTTCAGCAGACAACACAAAGCTCCGAAACAGAAAGTATTTCCAAGTACAGTTCGTGGTTCTTTCAGTCATCCACTTATGGTCACAGGTACCCTAACATGCTTGTCTCAGAGCTCCTACTGAGCATGAATTTCTTTCAATTTTAATTAAAAAAAAAACCAAAAACACCAACATTATTAGATATACACGTGCACTCAGTGCTTTAGACTAGAGAGTGACTCATTGTGATGTCATCTCCCAAAGTGTCATGATTTTGGTTTCACTGCATGCAGGCACAGAAACATATGCATTCCTGTAGTCTGCTGCTCCCCCCACCTAAAGCTCTGTGTTCCTTGTATACAGGAACTTTATCATTTAGGGTAAAATGCCATAATTAAAAAACGATGAACAGAAAGAGCTATGTTAAAGGGGCTAAGATTTTTAAATACATTATGATTGGTTCTTAAAATAATCCTCTACTTTTGATGTATTTATAAAATGCATCCCTGAATCTCACAGCAGTAGTACTGTAAAGGAAGAGGCTGTACATACCATTCATTTTTAAAATTAGCTTTACCACTAATATCAATGACACGATCTTTGCTGACATCAGGAGAGTTAGTATTCTGCCTCCCTTATTAATTTCCACACATATTCTTTTGTATGGAAATGTCCAACGCAGACTACTGCATTTTTATGGCTTGGTCATAGTCTTCAACTGATTTATGCAGATAATTCTCTTCTTCCCCAATCTACATACATTTCTTTGCCTAAGAGTATTTTCTATAAGAAAAAAAAACCCAAAATGATGTTCACACTAACCAGTTGTTTTTAAATGGAAGGGAGAATCTCAAAGCATCCAGCTGAGCAGAAGTTAGCACAGTAGCTGAGGAAGTTAAAGCCTTTCAAGGTCACTCTGAAATATTTACCTGTCTCTTCTCCTCCCAGCTAAGCTCACTCTTGCTGAGCGCGTATGACAGTTTAGTTAAGGCTGCCTCTGGTGTCATATCACTTCCAGGAATTACTCCAACATCAGCGAGAGTCTGAAGGAAAAGAAATAATGGCTCCAATTAGCATAGCATGCAGAAATATCTTTGTGTACTGAAGACGGACACGAATGTGCAGCAACACAGAATACAGCATGCAGCCGTGCCTCCGCACTCTTACTCCTACTGCCACTGTAATCTTAAAATTTCTGTAATCTTAGCTATCAAATACTGGGCAAATACTAGAGCCAGTTGAATAAAGCTGGCTTATACTTTGCATTCCTTTTCACGCGGCAACGCTGAAGAATTCAGCCTCGCCATGGTCACTTACTGTGCTCAGATGGAAAGGTCACTGCTCTGCATCAGCTATCCACAGAGTCGTCAGATGACTTTTACTGAAAAGCTGCAGTTGCTCCATTTTAACCCAGTGGTGTTGTGAACACTGCCAAGTCGGCTGCTCTTACTCAGACATATTTACCGTTCTTTTATGGGGCATATCTTTGGATGACTTCCAGCACTACAGTGTGCTCACAGCAGGAGTGCTTTTATATCCTTTCAGGCTGCACGAGCATTGTGTGATTTAGAACATGCAACTAAAATGCGTAATCTACGCAGTTGTGATGAGAACAACTGTAAAAGATGGCCCAACGTTTTAAACTTATCTTGCTGGTAGTTAATAAAAGCACACCAGCAACTGAACCAGAGTAAGAAGCTGAAGCATCTTTGCCATGGTTAGCAAGCTTCGTAAGTATATAAGAGATAAAGAAGATTTCAGATCCCATCAGTAAATTGTACACGGGTAAACATTCAGGTTTCCATAAACTACAGGCCATTAGCTTTGCTATTACATGATGCTTCACAGCTAAGCATCTTGCAGTAGCTTCTTTGCATTGATTTACTTTCAAGTGCCTTGTACATAAACTTCATCTTTTGAACTTGTTGTGACTTAACTAGTATTTCAGAGCCTCGATCAGCATATCATCATCTCTGAGAGCCCCAGACCAACATAAAAGTCATACGGAAAAAACACATATAAAGTAGATGAGAAATACCCTCTGTACTGGAGAGCTAATCAAATAACAGTTAGGGCTTTTGCAGTAGGCTTAGGAAGGAGTAGGAGGAAGGGATTTCTCAGCTTCCTTCCTATACCTTAAGTCTCTTCCTCAATTATAAGTTTCTGCTTTGCAGATGGTTCAGAAGCCAGACATTCAGTTCATTAAATAAAACCAACACTTCAGTGGAAACCAAGGACACAGCTGACATACTGGATGAGTAAAAAACAGCCTAGCCACATGCAAAGACCTGTGAAAGGCTGTATTTAAAGAAAAAATATATATATTATTGTTAGTTTCCAGCATTCACCCCTGATACTTCCTCCAGCGAGCAGTTTCTCATGAAAAAGAAAAGGCAATGAAAAAACAAGCATTAAGTAATTTTGTAGGATTTGGCTTGCTCAGCAGCATTTTGAAAGATGACAAGAAAACAGGACAACCTCCATCAATGCGTGCTGAAGCAAAACATTAAGTGTTTGATGTAAAAGATGGATACCAGAAGTGAACACATTTCTGCGTGGCCTTGCATGTTTGGTAAGACAACTGCTAGTGACCTGAGTAGAACCTTTTAAATAAACAAATCAACAGTCAGGATTAGAATGTAAAACGCCTGGCACGGAGGGACATGGTTAGCAGGCATGGTGGGGGTGGGCTATGGTTGAACTATATGATCTCTGTGGTCTTTTCCAGCCTTAATGATTCTATCATATTTGCTACAGAGCATGAGATCTCTCCTAAAGTTGATATTTTCAAAACATTCCCCCTTAACTTAGCTAAAATTCTACTAACACCCAAAGAACTGCTCGTATCACGGTATATGAAGTTAGAATACCAAAAAGGTGAAAATAAAAACCCCGACAATTGCTTTTCTTTCTGCTCAAAACAGACTCTGTATCCTTAAAGCAAATATAACCTAAAGCTGTGCCAAAACCAATGTTAAAATAGGCAGGTTTCAACATCAGTTCAGAGGACGTAGGTTTGCCTTACAGTCATGTCAAGAGCAACCAACGATGAGAATAGTCAATGAATACACTCTGCTGGACAGGTGACTACTCCCAACTAAAACAGGTGCCTTAAACAGGGCTGTGCATCACCCTACAGTAGTGCCTCTTGAATACTTAATGGGTGGCTATTATAAAGGCCAGTTAAACCAGCTTCCTTCACACCACCACATGTATCACGTACTCTCATAGAGCTCTGAGCTCTTATTAGTCTCAGTGATGTCGTATCTTAACACACAATTAAGAAACTCACTACAAAATGTCCTGTATAGTAAGAGCATTGACTGCTTAAATACAACTGATTTCCATTCTGCAAGACGTATGCTTCCTTACACATTGTTCCCCTTCTTGCTGAATTCAATTGCACTTCAGTCAAATAAACAGGGATATTTAGAATACTGCTTGGATTTGCATGCTTTCCTGCTGTTCTTACATTGTAACTAAGTAATCACAAGCCTATCAAGTATTACTCTATTTGATCATCTGATCCATATCTAGATCTAGCTCAGGGAATGCCCTGGGGAGAGACACTAATAACCTAATGTAAGGTATCCTGGAGTGCTGCTCATAACAGGAGAAAGCAATCAGCGATTTGGGATTTGAGGTGAGTATGTAGACCATTCATGCTAAGAGTAACAGGACTGTGTTCTTAGATATATATTTACACGCTTACAGCTTAACATTTTTCTAATATCATTATATTATGAGCAATATCTTCAGTGTAAGAAATCTGGCTTCATACATTGGCACTACTAGAAGCATACAATCACGTTTATATCAGCAAAATGTCTTTTACACAGAAGCAGAATCTGAAATCATTGCACAACCCTCACCTGCCCTGTTGCATAGACTGTTTTAACAGAGCCTTGCAAGCATTGGGTACAGTTTAGAATCAGTACTTTTCGTTCAGTTGCTCTCTTAAGTTCTTCTAGCAAGTCTTCTCTGTTGTTTGGGGCATTGCCACTTCCATAAGTTTCAAGTACAATGCCTTCGATTGGAGGCTGGAGAAATGCTTTCACCTGTTTAAAAACAAGACAGCAAAGAGAGATGAAGGCTGTGTTTACATCACATTAAGATTTTCTTATATGGCAGTTATAAAAAATAGGCTATTCCTGTTACAGTCTTATGGGCTCTCATGTCTTAATCTTCTCATGCCCTTCTGTACACCTCGTCTGCAATAAGGACTGAAGAATAACGTTAAAAAAATGTGCATTCCAAATTCTTAGTTTCCTTTCAAATTCCTAGAGGGATAGATTTTAAACTATTTTCCACTGACCTGAGTGTGAGAAAGGATGCTATTGTTTAAGGGCCATTAACGGGCTATAATGTTGCACTATGGAGGAACAAAAGGGTAGATTAACACTTACAAAATAAATACAGAATTATTTCAATCTAGAACTCCCACCACTGCCCAGATTTTTCATTTTAGCAAAGTTTTGCAAACGAGTATCTGCCTAACTAAGAGAAGGAGTGTCTCGCCTTTCAGGAAAGAACACACTACTGAGGCATGGAGGCTTCTTTTTTTTTTTTTAACTCAAAAAGCAATCGATTTAATGCACTAAATTAACTAAAATTAAAAAAAAAAATTAAAAAAGAGGTTCAAAATCTTTCTGGGACAGCTGTTAATGTGACAGCTATTGTGCCTCGCACTAAGAAAATGCCTTGCAAATTTTTCTTCCCAGAAAAATATATTTTAAACAATCTAAACGTTTCCTTGCTGATCACATATGCTAAACACAATACACTGTAAGTCCCTGTGAGACTAGCTATGCAGTTGGAGTTTTATTGCAAATATACCACCCCTCTGCCTTTCCATCTGTTCATATTCACCTAAAAAGAATGGTAATATAACTGAGGAGTGCTTCTTAACTACTGGATTCAATTTAAATTGGCAACACCCATGAAAGACCCATCAATTTAAATTTTAAACAAAAATTTAAAGACAAATTCACCTAAACTCACAGTAAAACAATTTTTAAAGGCTCAGAGCAGGAAAATCCTACTCCTCATCTTCAGCTCTGTATGAGTGCTGAGGATCATGCTAACCACCAGTATGACATGAAATGAACCTTGAAAAATAAGCATGACTGTGGAAGAAATCACACTCACCTCCACAATCATGTATTCTTTGGCATGGTGTCTATTAGTATGCCTTAATATGCAGCAAGAAAGCATTCCCACCATCACTGGAACCTATGCTTCTCCAGAAGAGTACACTTCATCTGTTTGTGAGCCCTTACAAGAAGTTAATTTTAAGTTTCAGAGCCCAGAAAGTTTAGATAAAAGATACTCTGAAAGCTTTTGCTAATAGACTGTAGCCCGTGAAAACAGTCTTTGAATGCTCTGATGTTACAGAAAATGTTTATCAGAAGACAGATTCTTTCCCTTCCTTCCAGAACTCAACCACTGCTACAACAACGTAGCATCCTCACTTCAGCTTACTAATCAAGTATTTGAGCATCATTTTATCCACTTCCAAACCTCAGTGGTGACACTCACAGCAGCAGCAGTTATCCCTGGAAATATTCGCAGAAGCCCAACATTCCTGTTCATATTGGTATGAACTCGAAATTTCTTTTTGGTATTGGCTCTCCATACTGTTTCCCAGTTTACTGCAAAAGAGAAATGGCCTTTTCAATATAATATCGAAGACATAACGTTAAAGTACATTTGTAGCACCTCATACTTACAGCAGTATCTTCAAAACTATTTCTTATATAGGGGACTCATGAAAGACAATATATTTTTTAAAAGAGGAAATGAAGAGTCATTTAAGATAGCAGCCTTAGCAGCTGATCTAACACACTTTATCTATTACATGCCACAAGATATGTCTTTAAGGCCATTTCCAGGTCAAACTCAACTGTGTTATATTTTAGCTTTAACTCCAAAATAGTGTAGACACTGAGATAAATCAGTATTACTTGTCACTATTTCTAAGTTAATGCCCTTCAAGGAGATATTTAAGTACACTTGTTTAAATTTAATAGCATTTTACAGCTAAGACTTCCAAAATGGACATTTTAGTTCAATGACCACTCACCCAACTACAGTGCCTTCAAAAGAAAAGTCTGCTGGCTGTGAAAACCATTTGAGTACAAGTCCTGTTGGCATCAGCTCTCCCATTTCAGAGTGGTCAGGAAGTCTCAACTAGCACACTGATACGTCTGGCCTAGGCAATACACTGACTTATCACATATTGATCAGAACCTTACTGTTTTATAGCTGGACTGATATCAGCCTAGATTAATGCTTAGAAAACAGACCTTCATTTTCTCAGACAAGAGATATGACAAACGCATTTAGTGTTCCTGCTAATCACCTCCTGAGTTTATTATGTTGTTACTAATGATTAAATAAAATAGCAAGGATTCAATTAACTCCGATTACACATTTAGAGCTAGAAGCCAGCTGTTTAACTAATAGTTTGTTTGTGCTGTATTAATAGAAGCCAAGTCATGCATTATTGATTTCAAAATTTTACTACTTCAGTAGTGCAGACGGCTGCTACAAGTCTGCGAAGGAAGTTTAACAAACAGCCAGCAGCTCAGTGCATCATGCTTCAATGGAAGCAGACCATGCTGTATACCTGTTTCCTTACTGTGATCTAAGCTGCTTAGATTTTGGCAAAATCCCTGAGCAGCAATATAGATAAAAGGCCTGAATGCATACTAACGATGTGTTCTCAGCCACGATAAGAGTTACTCAGACTAATTACTGTTAAAATCTCTTGCAATCAGCAGACAGCCGTTTGTAAGAGAATTCAAAGTTTAGAAGCCTGCGCTGAAGCCGAATCTATTGCCCCATTACCAGAGATACTGAAAAGAACACAGTCCTTTCACTCAGGACAGAAAAACAGCAGTCACCTATAAGACTTTACGAGCCCTTCCCGAGGTGCTCATTAACAACTACAGCCTCTTTCTAAAAAACAACCAACCAAACAAACAAAAAACAACACAAAAAACCATGCAAAGCAGCTGGCTTGGCATCATGTTTACCCTGCCTTCTGTATGGATCACCAGTGCTCTGGGAATGAGAGAATAGAAACATAGACAGTTGCTACAGCTCGTTTTTGAGAAGCTGGACATATGGTTCTGGAATCACCTGGCTGGAGCTAGTAGTTGGCCCAGTAACTTTCTGGAATAAGTTAAGAAACGTGCAGGAGATAAATGGGCAAGTGCATACAATCATAGAATTCTGCTTGAGGTTCATAGAATAGGCTAACCACATTCACTCCTGAGCACTGTGCTTTAAGAAGCCGTGTTTAGCAATAAACTCAGTTGTTTCAACTTTCTAACAATCAAATCAATTATTTAAAAGCAGCCTTCTCTGTAAGAAGGGACAGCAGTAAAACTCCTAGTGGTTTCATTATCCTCTATAAGCTAGGACTCCCTGCCAAAACTTCACAAATGAATGCTACTACATTTGGCAACAGCTAGCATCCCTGATGTCTTCAACAAACTTGAGGAATGAACGGAGGAAACCAGCATGGCAAGGATAACTAACACACTGCCCAAGGTAGAAGACCAAGGAGAGAGATCAGAGGATAGGTTCAAAAGCCAGACTGTACCAGGCCCATGCCTGTACTCATGGGAGTACGTTCTACCAAATAACACGTAGCCTTCAAGATAAATATAATGCAGTCAGACGCAGTAGAGTGATGCAATTCTAAACTATATTAAAAAAAACTAGAGATCGTCTCTGAGTTAACATTCTCTTGGTCGTGTATCTCCTCAGTTTACACAATGTGCTCAGTACTGCAGACTCTACAGATGTCAAATTTCCATTAGACAAATGAGCTTAAAAAAGCGGAAACCACCCAGATTTCATAAAAGCTCAACTTCACCTCAGATTTATTCAGGACTGTTCTAAGCAAGGCTACACAGGGGAGGAAAAAAAGACACGTTCAGAACACATCTTTTGCATTCTCCACATCAAAGATTATACCCCCCAAAAGGAAGAATATTTAGGCAACATAGTTAAGTTAAGCATCTTCACTGTACCGAATAAACTAGCTGTCCTGCAGCCAGTGGCTGTAGTGCACAAGAATCTTTACCTTTGATCAAATAGAAGTAATAACAATCTTAGCAGTCACTAACAGTTCTTAAATAAAAAACCTTTTACAGGCAAAGTACAAAAAGCTCTACGTGTTGGTGTTCATAACAGTTTTTATCCTGGATAGATGGATAAGAGTGACTAAGTAGGGATACAGACATGAGGAACAACAGAAGAAAGTAACCTGTCCTGACTTGGATGGGCTGTGCTTGTAAAAAGCTTAACTCGTACAGCCTGCTGTATTATGTAAATACGGATGCAGTGCTGGGGAACAAATCTAAGTTAGCTACTGGTCTCACACAGCAGAGAGAACATTTTTAAAGCATAAAATAGAAAGGTAATGGCTATTTCTATCCTGCACTGAGACTGGCTTGGGTCAGAAAAGATTGCATTATTCAAGGACACTATATTCGAAGTATTAAGGCCTTCTGTTTGTTTTTCCAAACAAAGCAAACACAAACAATACTCTGCTGCTCCCAATCCCTCTCTTCTTCTCAAACACTACAGCTTTTCAAATTACTGGCCAAAAAACAAATTTGAAAGAGAAGCATATACCTAAGTCACAAAGTGAACTAATAGGGGTTTGAAGCCTGACTAGCTTTTGTTCCTCTTTTGAGCTCACTAGTGCAGGGAAGGGAACAGAAGGCACCCAGCAGTCCATGAAGAGGCAGCTTTTGTCAGAGGAGTGCTAAGAAAAATCTCAGGTTTCCTTCACATCCTATGGTTGAACAGTGATGCAGAAGGAAACAACCAAAACCATTTTTCCTTTAAGAAAAAAAAAAAAAAAAAAAGCACAACTTTAGAGTCCTTATCTTATTCAGCTTCACGCATACCCACACATGAGATAGGTCTGGTGTGGAAAAAAACCAGCAACAATAAACTATCTGAAAAACAAAATAAAAAAGCAGCAGCAGCTCCAAACAGTGAAGAAAGCAGCAAACCGCCTTCTTTTAATACTGCCTATTCCACAGTGCAGGTTTCAACTTATAATGGGGGAGCAGTAACTCAGAGGGACACTTCCCTTACGAGTGGTGACTGAACTCCAAGTTATGAAATCAAACAAGAAATGCAGCTTTTCTTGATTGCAGAGCTCCAGACAAACAGCAACGCTTTCTTCTCATCCCTCTCTGTAGGGCTACCAGTGAGCCATGCCATTATATAAGCTACGCCAGCGTTCATTAGAATTCATGGCCACAGCCAAGGGGTGGGGAACACAGGCCAACCTATGGGTGGAAATTCCTGATGGAGGCAAGCAAGCTTAGACCCCCTTTTTTGGCAGTTTATTATAAAACAATTGACACACACCTTTTGAAATGAATATTTAAATTGAAAGGTAGAACTGCAAGCATTAACATGCCTACTTACAAGGGGGAAAAACACCAAAAGCACTTCAGCGAGCAGAGCTGGCGTTTGCCTTAATGCATAAATGACTTAGGCTTTTTACTATAAATAACCAGAACTGCCAACCAAGACAGACTTGGCCAGTGGCAAATAGCTTCTCTCTAATGAGACTGGTGGGTAGACGAGACTACAGGGCCTTCCAACCTGCTGCTGCTGTACCACACCTGCACACACAGGTACAGACTCTTTTCATCCCCTACACAAGCTGCGTTCTAATCATACGGTCCTGCACATATGCACCACTCCCAGAAGTTACATGCATGCATGATGAAGAAAGTCCAGTCATGGTAACAAAGCAGGTTTCATATTTGCCTCATTAAGACAGGAGAGAACAGAGGACAGTAATCGGTTATGAAATACGTTGAGACTCCTCATACATTTCATAAGAAACAGACCTCCTCATCTCTCTTTGTTTTCAAAGCATGAGAGAAATACAACAAGGTATTTCATTTCATAAGTTGTACGTATTTAGAAATATTGGGGTTTGATTCTCTACCGTTCATTTCTCGCAAAAGCATTTCCCACCAACATCAGGTTTCCTATTCATCCGAGGAGTTTGCACAAATTTTTCACTTCTTTCAAAGTTTTGTGTGCTGATTTGAAAGTCTTGAGGAAGCTGCCACACTTGTCAGTCTAAAATTCCGTAACAGAACTCCTAGGTGTTGGTAACACAGTCAAGGAGCTGTCAGGTGATGGGACGGAGAGAAGGTTGAGGTACTGAATGAATTCTTTGCCTCGGTCTTCACTGGCAGCCAGGACTCCAGAACTCCTCCTGTCCCTGAGCCCTGCATCCCTACACCTCTGGGTGGGGACTGGGGTGGTAAATCCCCCCCCGCTGTG